CCCCCCCCCCCCCCCCCCCAAACAAAGTGGTGTCTCTCTCCTGGGTGTCTCTATTATGACAGGAAAAAAAGTTTAGAAAGAGAAGGTATGTTGGTCGGTCATTTGGTCGCTAGAATATCCGGTCCTCTGTCGGGCGGGGGGGGGGGCTGTTCATTACGACGTTCGGTCAGTCCTTTCGGTCGGTCATTATAATACTTACAAATGAATAATATTTAACAAATATAAAACATTTCCGTGTTGATATACAGTTATATCAATACGAGTGAAATTGGGAAAACGAGAAATTGTATGGAAACACGACGGACGAAGTGTTTTATTATTATTATTATTATTATTATTATTATTATTATTATTATTATTATTATTATTATTATTATTATTATTATTATTATTATTATTATTATTATTATTATTATTATTATCAATATGACAAATACAAAAACACCAAGGACGTATTAAACACCATCAGGAAACAACATGAAGACAAGCTTCAACACCACCTCATTTCACAATGCTCATTTTTCTCCAATATCATTAAACATTCTACACTCTCATTCAACTCTATATGGTCTTTCGTTCAGAGTAAACTTCCGAAGAATATATTTAACTTCACTATCCGGTATATAAATAACACTCTTCCGACTCGCAAAAACCTTCTGAAATGGGGAATATTACCAACATCCGAATGTTCGTTTTGTTTGAATCCAGAATCATTTCTTCACGTCGTCGCTGGATGCAAGACCTACCTAAATGAAGGACGTTTCACGTGGCGTCATGATTCGGTGCTTAACTTCATGGCATCCATACTTAAATCTGTGAACCATTGTAACCTTTATGCTGACCTTCCTGGCTATATCAGTCCATCTGTTCTCACCGGAGATGAATTGCGCCCTGATCTTTTGATAACACTTGAAAACAAATGTATTTATATACTTGAACTTACCGTCGGATTTGAATCTAATCTCCTCACTAATGTAACTCGAAAAAGACAAAAATATCAAGATCTAATTAACGAACAGCTACAAAATTATGAAAAAGTGAAATTTGTAAATTTATCGATTAGCTCATTAGGAGTTTTCAGCCACCCGTCGCTAGATTTCACCGAAATGCTGAAGGATCTAAAGTTTGATGAACAATGTAGAAAGTACTATGTTCGGAAAATTATTAACATATGTATCAGGTCCTCGTATTATATATTCTGTAAGCGTAACAAAGAATGGGATAACCAACAACTAATGTCATACTAATATTGTTATTATGTAGAGTGTTAATTCAAGTAGACACTGGTAAACTACCTGTAAAGAGAGGTTTATCATAGTAGTGTATATATATATATTATTGAAAGTAATAAAGTTTTCATTATTACTATTATTATTATTATTATTATTATTATTATTATTATTATTATTATAAACTTTAAAATATTTTCACTTGTATATATATTATAGTTTTATATTCAATTCAAGTGGACATCGATAAGCTACCTTTTATTAAGTGAGGTTAATAAATGTATATATAGTATATCGTAAATATCTAATAAAAAGTTTCCATTATTATCATTATTTTTATCATCATCATCATTTCTATATTTAAGAAAGCAAACACGCACGTGCTGCGTGTGTGGTTTCAGCAATTTCAGGCTTCTGTGGTTTCAGTGTGTGAGTGTAGCCATCTATTCTGTGCGGGTGTAGCACAGTCGCTGTACAATGAATACACCGCCTAAATAAAATCGGCACTTAATTGAATGCCGGTAATGCATAATAACATAAATTTATATATTGCGTAGAATCTCAAAGATTTTCTCAATAATCACGTCTGAAATGTTTATACATTAGAAAACAACACTGTCTCGTTCCTTCCTTGCTCTGTATAATGAATATACCGTCAAAATAATATCGTCACTTAATTGAATGCCCGTAATGCATAACATCAATTTATATATTGCGTAGAAGCTCAAAGATTCTCTCATAACACTACCAACCTCAGTTGCAATACACTCTAGTCTACACGATTTCAGACCGCCGCTTAATAGTCCCCGCCATTGTAAAATGATATTATATGAGAGCACGTATATTAATTCATTTGTTTTATGTTGCAGGGGGCAAATCGCATAATATCAAGCGCTTGAAATGTAACAGTAAATTGGTAATGCCATCATGAATATAAATATAGATTTTTATAATCCATAAGCAACTATAAACGATTAGTTGGGCGAACTTCGCGGAGCTCTGGCAAACGTAATGAAAATCATTAGCAAGCCCCCCTCCCCCGGATTGTTTGCACTATAGGTCCATTGATCGGTAACTGGACTGAATTTTTCTTATAACAATAGTGCAAAGCAATTTTGCACTAAAAATGGAACATAGTCGACCATATGAAATGTTCGATCTAGAAAGAGAAGATACCATTTTTTGCAAACATGCACTGTTTATATATAATTACATTGTGCTGGGAGGTACGGGGTAAATTGAGCTCGAGTGAAAATTCTAAATTATGAAATACCTCGTTTTCCACAGGAAGCATTTTGGTTTTTAAATCGCGTCGTCCCAATTCTTCGAAACATTTCTCGAGAATATGACGGCTATAAGACTTGCTGTCATTAAAGAGCTTGAAAATTTGTTCCGCTTTCGGTGAAAAACTTGGATATTTCCGCAAGTTAGTTCTGATTTCCTCTCGTTCAGGATACGGAATATCCATGAGCCCTCCTAGGCTGTTCCAATCTACTCCAACTAAGCGGCTCATTTGAGTTATTTCTCCATTTGTGAGCTTTGTGGTCCAATACACAACTAGAAATGGGAAATAGAGCTTAATTACCACAGTACATTCAACAATATCATTGACATACATTCCTTTCCAACAAACATGCACAGTCCATCCCCCCCCCTCCCCCGTTTCAACATGGACTACAAATGAAACATGTTAGAAAAGTGGAGTACAAATGAACATATTGCAGTACAATAGCATATATGCTCTTGGTTTTGGCCAAATTATAAACGACTTATTGACTGAGCTTATTCGAGCCGAACAGTAGGATATTAGCCTTCAAGAGAACACTCGTGGTCAGGTTGAATAAACTGTAGGGCGACACCTTAACAATGATTGCTAGTTAACTTCCTGTTAATCATTTCCTGTTACGTCATGAGCACGCCATGCTGCCAATGCAGTTAAGAAAATATAAAAAGAGATTTCAAAAGAACATAAAAAATATTTATCGTCAAAGAATCGTTTAAATCGAAGAAAAGATAAGCAACAAAAAGGAAATTAACATTTTTGGACAGTTGCCCGGTAAGTTAAAGTTATTATTCAGTAATTTTAGAGAAATATTGTTCTTATAATCATGTTAAAAGTATAATAATAGAGGCATGAATATAATCGTGTAATAGCTGTTGAATTATGGTCATTTTGAGTAATTTATGTAAATAATTCTTTAGAACGGTGCATGGTTTATCTTAAGTTTGACAATTATAGAATGTAGACGGAGATATTTATGGTTTTATCGACTTTTGGGAGAGATATTACTTTATATTTTTTATAAATATTGGCATGTTTATTGTTTGACACAGGAAGTATGTATTTTAATATTTTGTTCATTTAGTTATAATACATTAACTTTTACAGCTTCTAACCGTCGTCCTCCTATTTTGGGGTGTCAAAATGAAAGAGAAAATTATAAACAGTCTCACGAGTCTATTATGTCCCGGTCACATTTGGCGTAGTCGGCAGGATTATTTTGAACATTCGTACAGCAAAATGTTAAAATACTGTGTCTGACGAGGAGCAGAACGAGGGCGACGACGTTGCCGGTGCAGCAGCCCAAGGTGGGGAAGACAACTCTCTATTGGAAACTATAATGGTTGAAAAATGAGAATAAGCACACAAAACAAGCACTTTCGCCAGTAACTGTTAGCCAGGGCGAAGCTAGTACTTCAAGAAAGAATGCAGCGTCCAGTTAAGCACAGACACCCAAGTTGTGCATGTTTCTCGAGAGCGTAAAATACAAATTTTTCCAGTAGTCGAAAGGCAGACGAAGATACGGTAGGGAATCTTGTCAAAAATGTAAAAAGTTTGATATCAGCTAGGAAAATGACCCAAATTGAACAAACCGACTTTGTACCATCACTGTTGAAATCATCAGCAAAGGAACAAGTCAAACTGGCCCTGCAGCCAAACGTGACATATAAAATCTGCAATATCTAGTTGGAGGGATTTAGCGAGCGGAAGACCACACCACAGCAGTTACTAAAGACATTTTACGAACGAAAGCAAAAGGATACAGAAACCTTTAGGGAGTTTTCGCATGCCGTGTGTGAGATTTACAACCGAATTTATTCCCGTGACACAACCCTTCTACCTTCTCGTGACGAGGCCCTCCGCGCCCAATTTGCAGACAACGTGAGAGATCTACTTCTGCGGAAGGAATTAATGCGCATGGTCCGAAGCAACTCCAGCTCTAAGTTACTAGAAGTACGAGAAGAAGCTCTGCACTGGGCGGAGGAGGATGAAAAGCTGCGTCGTACAAAAAGAAATGTATCAAGTGAAGCAGTGTCAATCACACAGCCAAACAAAGAGATGGATAAAGTATTGCAAGCCCTCGAAGAGCAGCGTATGTCGATTGATAATTTGTTCCAAACTCTTATTTCCCTTTCCAGATCCAACAATAATATTCCGCGGAATCAGGGAGGAAGAGGAGGCCGAAACCCCTCCCCCCGCGCCTTTGGCGAAAGAAAGAACAGAATTTGTTAAGTGCCAAGGAGTTGGACACATTGCAAGAGATTGTGTGAATAATACAATGCCTGAATGACGCCCTTTCCCCATCCAATGGCCCATCACGCAATACTGCCTTTCCCCCGTCGTATATCCCTTGTTAAGATACATCAGCGCCAAACGGTCCCCCTCCACAGTCGCGAGTCGGGCAGTAGGAGGGGGAAGCGCAGACCCTCAGAGCAAACTGGGAAGAATAATTGGCAAGTGTCTTGTTGCTGTTGTGAACATTGGAGGCGTGTCTTTATCATTTTTACTTCATTTAGGCTCTGAGGTCTGTACTATTACAGAAGAATTCTTTAATACTCATTTTAAACCAAAGGGACAGAACTACTTTCAACCAGTGGGTGGTTAAAACTGACAGCAGCAAATGGGTTAGAAATACTCTATCTTGGATATTTCGAACTTGACATTGAAATTTTTGACTTAAAGGTGTGCAGACGAGAAATACTGGTCGCAAAGAATTCTGCCATTAATGCTATAAGACCACGGAAGAGAGAGGTACCAGGTCTCTTAGGAATGAATGTACTATGTGAAATGGGACAAGTGTTAGGCAAGTTCGAGGGAACGGAATTTTTAAGTAAAATTGATCATGTATGGTCACAGCCAATCCAGGCTGCTAAACGTCGTGCGAATACATCAGTACGAGGTATCGTTCGAGTTGCAGGAAAGTTGGCAGTATGGACCCCAGCTAATGCAGTGACAACAATACCTGCCACTGGTTGGGGTGGTCAAGTGAAGTGCGAGATGCAATGGTGGAACCAGTTGTTGGACAACAGTTGTCGCACCTAGTAGTACTCAACGCCCTCGTGAGACTGTCATCCCTCTTCTGTGCGAGAGTTGCAAATCTAACCAATGATGATTTGTGGATCCAGTCAAGGACAAGGATAAGTGTTCTTCACGCAGTCAGCAACATCGAAAGTAGTATGGAATTCAAGAGAGTGTCAGTCAATGAATAAATGGTTACGGTGGAAGATAGCAAGAACACATCCATTCCTGACGTCGTAGAAAATACTGAATGTCCTTGCAACGGACTTTGCCCAGAGCAACAAGAAAAGCTTGACGCATTGTTGAACAAGCATGCTTCCGTATTTTCAAAGTCAGACAATGACATTGGGTACACGGAGACGGTTAAACACAAAATTAAGCAACCCTGAAGACGAATACTCACAAATCAATAGCAAGAGGTCAAGGAACACATCCGGAAATTACTCGATAGCTCAGTCATTTGCGAAAGTTACAGTCCTTATGCATCTCCTATTGTGTTGGTGAGAAAAAAGAACGGCTCTCTTCGCGTGTACGTTGATAATCGAAAGCTCAACTTAATAACGCAAAATGACTCACTTCCTTTATCCCGGATAAATAGACGAGTCACTTTATGCGCTCTATGGTGCACAGTGATTTACAACATTAGATCTTGCAAGTGGCTTTAGTCAGATCGCAGTAGAAGAGGAGGACAAACCAAAGACCGTATTCACTACTCCGTTTGGACTATTTGAACATAATCGAATGCGGTTTGGGCTCTGTGGTGCCCCTGCGACATTTCAGCGACTGATGCAAAGCTGCTTACACGAACAGGTCTATCAACTGTTGTTGGTTTACCTCGATGACGTTATTGTTTTCTCAAAAACATTTGACGAACACTTGGAGAGACTGCAAGAAGTTTTAACAAGGCTAGCGCAACATGGTTTAAAGATAAAGCGAGAGAAGTGCAGTTTTCTTAGAAAAGAAATTTCGTATCTGGAATATGTGGTTTCATCTGACTGTGTATCGACTGATACTGACAAAATATCTGTGGTGAAAAATTGGCCGGTTACCAACACCGTGAAAGAATTTCGGTCGTTGGATTTGCTAGCTACTATCGTCGTTTCGTAAAGGATTTCTCCTTTTATATATATATATATATATATATATATATATATATATATATATATATATATATATATATATATATATATATATATATATATATATATA